GCTTCCTGGCGTAGTTGGCTGAGAGAGAACATCGATCAGGGGGCCAAGCGAGCTCACATGGTCACTTCTGAACCCAAGCCCTGGAAACCTACTTCCACTCTCTCGTCCAACGGCTGTGTGGTCAGTGACCCCAGGTCCCTTCTCGAGGCTGAACGCAACAAGTTTATTCATTTATGGCGCGCTTTTGACTCCCCGCGGGAGTTGGGACCTATTGCCGATTTCTTTCCTGCCCCTGAGCTCCCCCCTTTGGACCCCAACGAGTTGGTCCGCATTTCGAGGAGCTACAAGATGTATTCGGCGGTGGGCGTGGACGGTTTCCACATGAAACATTTCAGTATGATTTCCCTTCCTGGGGTCACGGCGCTGTGTAGGATCCTGCAGGTCATGGAAATCTCCAGCATGTTGCCTTTCCAGCTTGATGCCACAGTGTTGGCGCTCCTGGGTAAACCTACTGGAGGGTTCCGCCCTATCGGGATTTTCATGGGTCCTTACCGCATCTGGGGGAAAGCGCGGCGGTGCCTTGCCGAGAGCTGGGAGGGGTCGCACGCTCGTCCCTACTTTGCGGCGGGCAAGTACCAGGGGGCCTCAGACGTTGTATGGCGGCAAAGCGTCCGCAGCGAGAGTGGGGCAACCCACTCCTTACATGCGGCTACCCTCCTGCAGGACATGTTTAAATACTACGAGCTCATTGATCTCGAGCGACTCCTCGGTCGTTGTATAAGGCTGGGTTTCCCTATTGCCATGGCCAAGTTGGCTGTGCGGGCCTACAGGGCCCCGAGGTTTCTTTCCTTGGGTGGCTGCATCGACGGGCCGTGGTACGCTTCTTCTGGAATCATAGCGGGGTGTTCGTTGGCCACGACCCTGATCAGGGTTAACGCGGTGGAGTCGCTCGATTCTGTTAGGTTACGGCAGGGTGCTCAACTGGCGCTCTACATCGACGATTCTGGCCTCAGTGCTGTCGGCAGTTTCAATTTTGTTGTGGACGCCATCACGGAAGGCGCGCCCCAGCTCCACGCTGCCATCGTTGATGGCATTGGTGCGCAGGTGGCGGCTGACAAATCCAGCCTGATTTGTTCCTCGGCCAAGCTTGGCAGGGCCATTCAGGCCAAACTGGGAGTTGAGCTCACGGGTCCCATTACTTCCAGTGCTGTTAACCTTGGGGTGGACGACACGGTGGGGAAGAGTTCTCGGACCCAGGGTCGTAACAAAAAGCTTGTGATTAGGAGACGTCTTTTCATCAAACGCACTGGCCGAGTGGCTAAACTTCGTAAGACCCTTGGTTCCAGGAGAACTTTGCGAGTTTTCACTGCAGGACCGCTCCCTGGCTTGCTGTATGGCAGCGAGGTTAGAGGGGTTACTGACTACGAGCTGATGCTCATCCGCCGTGCGGCGGCCAGGACTATAAAGCCTTCAGCTGGCCAACGCTCCCTGACGGTGCTTTCCCACCTCGAAGGCGACCCTGCTTGGGTTGGGGCCGTTTCCCCGATCTTGCGGTGGCACAAGGAAGTTTGGTGCTCTCAGGTCAGGGCCTTTGAAGGCTCGATTCCTTTCAGGGAGCTGAGGCAAGCGTGGGAAGGTGTTTTTCTTCAGGATTCCCCCTCGTGGAGGGCGGTAGGTGGTCCTGTGGCCGCCATGCGCAAGTCCTTGGAGAGGATCTCGTGGACGATGAGGGACTTCGCCACTTTCGTCACTGACAAGGGGATCGAGCTTTCCATGACCCTCATGTCCCCCCAGCTTGTCAAGCACCATCTCCGCGGGGCAGTCTTCAGGGTTCTCGAGTGGGAAGCTGGTGCTAAATGGGATGTGCCTCATCGTCTGTGCTTTGACGTGGTGAAGTTCGAGCTCCGCCGCAAAAAATACTCAGCTCTCGAGAAAGGGTGTATTCGGGCTGTTGCTACGGACGCAGTGTGGACTCGTGCTAAAGCATTGCGATTGGGTTACCAGATAGACCCCACGTGCCACCTCTGCGGCTCAGCCCCCGACACGCTCCACCACCGACTTTGGGTCTGCAGGTGCCAGGAGGTTGTCGAGCTCCGTTCCAGTCTTGTTACTCCCGAGCTTGTTTGCAAGGCCCTGGAGGAGCCCAATTCGATTCGGTCTTGTTTTGGAGCTTTTGCCCACCCTGGGGATTATTTTCCTGGTCCCGCGGCCGAGTCGTCTGGTACTTTCTGGGCCAGGGAGGACCTTCCCCAGGAGGTAGGCCAATTTCCTTTCACAAACAATATTTTCACAGACGGTAGCGCATGTAAGCATATAGTTCGCGAGCTCAGCAGGGCAGGCTGGTGTTTTGTGGCTGTGGACGACCAGGGGGACCTCTTGGGAAAGCTCTACGGTCCCGTCCCCCCGTGCTACCCCCAGACTGCCCCTGCGGGCGAGTTTGCTGCTATTTGTCAAGCCATACTTTTCTCAGGAGGACCTTCGGATTTTTATACAGATGCTCAGCTGGTCAAAGATCACTTCGGTCGCCCTCAGATTGACCAGCTTTCACCTAAGCGATGCTACAGCGGGTTCTCCCTCTCCCTCCTTTCAGATTTCTGGAAGGTCCGCTCTTTGAACAAAGTGAAAGCGCATCGCTCTTTGGAAGAGTGGACCGACAATCATGACAAGATGTGCCGTTTTGGGAACCACCACGCTGATGTTGGAGCTAAAAGTGCTTCTGCGGGGGAAGGGTACCTGGGGCACCCACAGCCGTCGGAGGAGGACAGGTGCAGGCTTGATCTCGACATTAAGTTTTCTAGGGCTGTGGCATCACTGTCTGCTAAGCTGATGCCTTTGTGGCCCAAATTAGACCTCCAAGACGTTGTGTGGATTCAGCCGCCTAAAGACCCCCCCCAGGTGGTTTCCTCTGTGCTTTGCGATTGGCAGCCCATCCAGATTGTCGAGCTTGGTTCCGTCTCGGGCTTTTGGAAGTGTTCGAGGTGTGCAAAAGTCAGCCGTCTTTCCACCCATGGTCCCCCGCCTCCTTCCTCGAAGTGCTCCCCTGTTCGAGGGATGGAGGCGCAGGTTTTGGAGGCGCGGGGACACAGGTGTTTGACGCTGGCCTGCTCAGACAATTCGACTTTGGTGATCTGCACCAAGTGCTATTCTTATTCGTCTCATGGTCGTGCGTCGGGCCTTGCGGATGTTTGCAGCGGCCCGACCAGATCAAAGAAGTACAACAGTTGGCACCCGATTTGTAAAGGCCTCCATCCTAAGCGTCCAGGAGTCTCGGTTGAGAGAGGGCCGTGGGCGCAGAAGGGAGGAGGCCTTCAGGTAGCCGATGCAGGTGCCGCCGCGGCGCAGGAGCACGGCTCTCCGCGCCCCGCCACCGCCGCCGAGGACCGTGGGGACGGGGTGGAGCGGGGAGCGGGGGGGGGAGCGACTGTGTCCGAGCACGCTGGTTTGCAGGACTGGGAGGCGGACGAAGAAGCCTCTCGTTTTCTTTTTCAGGGCCCTCCTTCTCCTCCTCCTCCTCCCCCCCTTCTTGGTTTGCCCTGTGCCCCGGCCTCTTCTCGCTGTGAGGCCAGAGAGGCGTCGTTTATTTCGGTGCTCGCGCACCGTGATGAGGGCGACTCTAGTTCGGACTAACGCCTGGGGGAGAAGCAGCGGGCCACGGGGCATCCTCCAGCCAGCTGGAGATGACCCTGTGGCCCGCTGCTTTTCCTCGCTTTTCAGGTGTTAGTATTTGCTGGCTTGTCCAGCCGTCCTGCCCTATTTGTCCGCGCGGCGCAGGCTTGGGCATTGCACCTTCAGGGTCAGCCCTCGCCCCCGCGTCTTTCGCCTGGCTCTGCCGCTCCTGCTTCTTCGCGCAGATCTGGGCAGCTGGCCCGACAGCGCGGCGGGAAATGCAATCTTCTCCCCTTGTTCTCTCGAACCCCTCAGGGCCCTCCTTCTTGGTTGCCCTGTGCCCCGGCCTCTTCCGCTGTGAGGCCAGAGAGGCGTCGTTTATTTCGGTGCTCGCGCACCGTGATGAGGGCGACTCTAGTTGCTGGCTTGACCAGCCGTCCTGCCCTAATTGTCTGGGCTGGCTCTCTACCTTGATGTTGATGTCAAAAAAATCCTACCCCCCAGCGCACCCCCTGTGGCGTCGAAGGAATGCCACGCCTGCCACGCCCTGGGAGCCTACAACGCATAGGGCCCCCACCCCCAGCGCACCCCATGTGGCGTCGAGGAAATGCCACGCCTGCCACGCCCTGGGAGCCTGCAACGCATAGGGCCCCCACCCTCAGCGCACCCCCTGTGGCGTCGAGGAAATGCCACGCCTGCCACGCCCTGGGAGCCTACAACGCATAGGGCCCCCACCCCCAGCGCACCCCCTGTGGCGTCGAAGGAATGCCCTGTGTGCTGTGCTGTGCTGTGCTGTGCTGCTGAGCTGAGCTGAGCTGAGCTGAGCAGTGCTGAGCAGTGCTATGAGGAGGAGGGGAAGAGTGAGGTGTGTGAGAGAGAGACGGAGAGGGAGGTGTGAGGTGTGAGTGTCGCGGGTGCGGCGCGGCAGGGAAGAAAACCAGAACCCCACGAAGCATGTGGGGAAAAAGGGCCACTCAGGCCCTGTTGGAAACCCCTGGGGCCCTTGCTGGACCCATCTTGGGCTGAAACGTGGAGAATGCCCAAAAACGCATCAACACACTGGAGATGCTGACGATGCTCATCTCTCGGGAGCCCTATCCAGAGCCACACTGGAGCAGCTCGTGACCACCTTGGCGCCGGTTTGGACCGTTTGGGGCAGTCTTTGGGCCGTCGTGGGAGGGTGGGCGTCTGACGCTCCTCTTTGAAGCCTCTGACACTTTGTTGGGCTTCTCCAGAGCCTCTCTGACTCGATGGAGGGAGGTTAGTGAGCCCCTGGAGCTCGACGGAGGTGGATTTGTGAGGCTCTGTGGCCAGGACTCATTATAAAAGCGGTTGGGTTGATGCTCGATGTCCTTATCGATTGTGGTCGTCCAGCTTTCGTATTGAGAATGCATTGGCCAGTATCAGGAACCGGTGGTTTTCTAGCCAGACAACATTATCATATCAAGTGGTAGTCGGTTTAACGGCTTGCTTACTATCTGAGCGGATGTCCCTGAACAGTCGATCGGGTCATAATTGGTCTGTGAGTGCGGCGGAAATCGGCGAAGCACGACTCCCATGCGTTGCGCACGGTACCATGTACGCGGACGGACGTTTGTACCATGCGGCTGTTTCAAATTTGGCTCGCCGGAAAAGCGAACCTGAACCGCAGACACTTCAACTTTTTGGAACGCAGCCACCTCCCAGCCTGTACCCACTCTTGCGTAACCCAAGGCTTTGACGTAGCCCGTCGCCCAGAAGAGCCAGAAGTACATAAGTTCTGTTCCAGCCATCGATAAAGCTTCGTGGTTGTCCGAGCTTTTGGGTTACGATGCTGACCTCTTGGCGCTGGTGGCCGAATGGGCCCGAGCGTCGATGCCCCTCTCCGTGCGTCGTCTGTTGCTTTTAAGTCCGAACGCGGTTTGGGGGACGCGATCTGGCGAGGCCTCCCTGACCTTTGGGCCGAGCCGGCTGCAAAAGCTCTCGCGATCTGCCCTCGCCCTCTCGCCTTCCTCTTCCTCCTCCTCCTCCTCCTCCTCCTCATCCTCCTCCTCCTCCTCCTCCTCCTTTCCCCCTCTGTGCAGGACCGGCTGCGCCACAAAAAGGGCCACTCAGGCCCTGTTGTCGGGGGCGGCAAAGAGGGGGGTGATGACTAGGAGGGGGTGGATATCATGGCGAGGGCCATGACATTTCCCCAGATTTCGTGGCGCCTCTCCTTGTTTCATTACGCCCCTGGCCCCCCCGCCGGGCCGCGCACATGCCGCTGGTCATGATTTGCACTCCCCCCTCTTGGACACCCCCCTATTGGCCGCTCCCGACTTGGCGGGGGGGCTGGTGCCGTCCAAGCAGGTGTTGGAGCAATCTCCGTCCTATGCATGCGCTTGGATGGGGGCCAACTTTAGGGGGACAAGAAGTGGCATAAACCTAAAAACTCGGAGGTCCGCGCGGATTTCTCGTATCGGCGCTGGACCCCCCTTCCCTAGCGCGCGGAGCGCGCCAGGGGCAGCGCCGGAGGCTCCGCCGGGGGGCCCCAGCGCCGATCCGAGAAACCCGCGCGGACCTCCGAGTTTTTATGTTTATGTCACTTGTTGTTCCCCTCTTGGACACCCTCCTCTTAGACACCCTCCTCTTGGACACCCTCCTCTTGGACACCCTCCTCTTGGCCGCTCCCGATTTGGAGCAATCTCCGTCCGATGCATGCGCTTCGAGGGGGCCAGCTGGGCCACCCTGGGGGTGCATGGGCGGGTGGGTGGTTCGTCGGGCGGACGGAGGCGCGGTGGAGGCCCCGACAACAGTGCTCGCGTCGGGGGAAAAAGATCGGGACGGGCGGCTCGTGGCGGAGGTCTCGGCCGCCGGGGGCCCCCGCCAGGCCCATGGCACGGGGCCGTGCAGGCGTCATTCGGGGCGCGAATACGGCCCGGGGCCCTCCTCCTCATCCTTATCCTCCCTCCTCCTCCTCCTCTTCCCTCCTCCTCCTCCTCCGCCTCCGCCTCCTCTTCCTCCTCCTCCTCCTCTTCCTCCTCCTCCTCCTCCTCCTCCTCCTCCTCCTCCTCCTCCTCCTCCTCCCCCTCCTCTTACCAATTTGAAACAGATCCTGATCCCTCTGTTCGGCATCACCGCCAAAAAACAACCCGCCGCGGGACGAAAAACCGGCCCCGGGGGGAAAGGGTCGGGACTTCTGGGGACCCCGTACTGAGAAAGATCCGGACATCGCATGTCTGGGGGCTGGGGAGCCGCCTGGCGGAGCAGTTGGCCCCCGGGGCCACGCTGTCCACGTCCACGAACTCTCGGCCTGGACTCGTCGGCTGTGGACGCGGAGCAGGTTTGCGAGGATGCCCCGCGCGGAAGTATCCATGAGATCGCGCTGCGGTAGCCAGACCGCGTGGGCATGGATATGGATATGTTCGTCGCTCTTGAGTTGGGGAAACGTAAGACTCGAGTACACTGGAACTCGGGTTTACCGACGCTTTTTGACGAGCGCGTCCTGGATTTTGACGGTCCAGTTTTCGTGGGACGTCTGCAGCGGGAGATCGCGCCCAAAGTTCAGATTGGGTCTCGTCATTTCCATGATGGCCCCGTCAGGCCAACCCGAGTCCCCCGAACTCGAGTCTTACGTCTCCCCGAGTGATGGTTGGCCCAAAGTCGGTGCCAGGAAGCTGCGCGGCGCTGCGTGTCGCGGGAGGGAAGCCTTTGGGAAAAGCCGGGAAGTGGCCGCAGGGCGGTTTGGGGCCGTCCGGGGGCCGCCTGCAGCCGGCACCGGGCCGCTCCTGGGCCAGTTGTAGGGCCTGCTCCGGGGCCGTGGGAGGCTGCCTGTCACGAGCGAACAACACACACCCATACCCATAGGGGTTCGTCGGGAGGAGGACTGGCTATGGGTATGGGTGCGGGTTGTCGGACCCTGGGAACGCTCCCGTTCGAGCGGGGACCCCCATTCGACAACACGCACCCATAGCCCTCTCCGACCCCACTATGGGTATGGGTGTGTGTGTTGTTGGTTCGTCAGCCTGAGGGGGAAGGCCACTAGACTGAAACCTCCTCGCGTTGAAGCAGGAGGGGAAAGTGTAGCTACTTCGGTTTGGGATGTACATTCTCTTGGCGTCAGTGTGGGACGGCCTGGCGATTGCTTTGCAAGGAGCAATTTGTAGTAGACGACGGGCGTGGCGCGCGTGCCGTTGCAAAGCGCAGTGGTTGATGATGTCAGTGGTGCCGAGTACATTGTGCCTTCATTCGCTCTGGTCGGGAAGAATTGGCGTATGTCTCGCGGCATAGAGGGGAAGTATTGGAAATCGTTCGCATTCAGCGCATGTCATGTTGTCAACGTCATCGCTTAGTTGGTTAGGTCACTCGGTGGACCCGTCATTCCCTTGTCGTACAAGTTGGTTTCGGCTGCAATGGAGTTGGTGTCATTGTTACAAGTGTGAGCAGTCCTGAGTATGTGCTGCATGCGTGACAACAGATGTGTATGTTTCCCCTCATTCGTATTCACCGTTGGCTGTTTGGTTGGGCCAGAGCGCTGTCAAGCTGCCCACGCAGGATGCATGCACGTACATACATAGATGTAGATCTAGACATATGTATATATATGTATGTATGGCTGCACACACATATACATAGACGATTGCATAGACCCATCTATATCTAAATGTTACAAATGTGTACCTGGATATGCACATATATATATATATATGTATATATACATGCCAGCGTGGACCCCAAACAGTGTGGTTCTAGCGATCCACCACCGTGCCTTGAGGCACCAGTTGAAGTGTCCTCAACTCCTTGGTCTACTCTCTTAAACCTCTACTCTCAACCCTGAGGATTGCCCGTTTTAGAGGATCAGGCCCCACATTGCCACATCTCTTGGGGCTCCCGGTGTGCCCTCGGGGGCGCGTCGTGTCGCACGATTTGTTCGGGCCCAAGGCGGCATCAGCACGGGCCAAGAGGGCCCCAAGAGGCCGCCCAGACGGTCCAAGAGGACCCCGCATCGCCGCACCATCGGCCCAAGACGCCCAAGATGGCCGCACGACGGCCCGAGAAGAGTTCGGAGGCGGAGCTCCCAGAGCCTTCCCAGGAGGGCCACGCTAGTCCAAACTTACAGGTGTTCTTGATGTGCTCAATGCTCTCAGGGTCCTCGAGGTTTCGAGCTTCCCACGCTCCAAGACGGCCCAAGAGGTCCCCAAGACCGCCCCAAGACGGCCCAAGAGGCCACCAGGAGGGCCCCCAGACGGCCCAAGCGGGATCCAAGACAGCCCCAGAGGCACCCAAGACAGCCCAAGTTGGCCCAAAGACAACCCCAAGAAGCGCTTAAGAGGGGACACACGAACCGAAAATCCGAGTGCCCCAAGAGCCCCCTGGAGGAGGCCACAAGGAGGTCCCAAGAGGCCCCCAAGAGACCCCAAGAGACCCCCGAGAGGCCCCCAAGACACCCCAAGAACCCCCAAAACGGCCCCCAAGAGGCTCCGAAACAGCCTCCGGGAAGCCTCCCGCGACTCCCAACGAACATCTTAGAGGCCAGTGACCCACGACCCAGGCCCGTGGTGGCGGGATGGGCCGAAGGCCAATCGATTTGCTTTGCACGGGAACGGAAAGCGCTACTTTGAGAAGATGCGGAATCGCTGGCTTGTCCGTTGTTCCTCCTCTTCATTCCCCGATTCCCCTCGCCCTTGTCTCACCTTGGGGTAGTCTTGGGGCCATCGTGGGCTGTCTTGGGAGACTCTCGGCCCGTCTTCGGTCCCTCTTGTTTCGTTTTGGATGCCTCTTGGATTTGTTTGAAGCCATCATATACAATATTGGAGCCGTTTTGGGCGAACTCGGAGGCCTGTTGGATCTTCTGGAGCAGTCGTGTAGGAGGCTATCCCTGGGCATCTGTCAAGTACGAGGAAGATGCACGCTTACGCGGAGTTTACAAAAGAACTTACGCGGGTGGGGCACCCCTGACGACCCAGGAGGCCCCCAGAACATATTTCATTGTTGCCAGATCACGAGGAGCTTACGCGTTTACGCGGGGGGCGATCGCCGAACTTACAGGGCTTGGGTTTTGTTGGGAGGTTTCTTGGCGCTTTTTGGGGCCATCTGGGGGCCTTGGACAAGGAGGAGCGAGTAGGAGGAGGATGAGGATCGAGGAGCGAGAAACGAGGAGTGAGGAGGAGAAGACGGAAGAAGAGGAGGAGCGAGGTGGAGTTAGGAGGAGGAGCAGTGAGCAGGAGACGCAACGAGGAGGGGGAGGATGAGGCGGAGGAGGAGAAGGAGGAGGAGGAACGGGAGGAGGAGGAGGAGGAGGAAGAGGAGGAGGAGAGAGAGAGGAGGAGGGGGAGGAGCCAGGAGCGAGGATGACGATACGGATGAGGAAAGCAAGGAGGAAGAGGAGGAGGAAGAGGAGGATGACCAGGAGGCGGAGAAGGAATACAAGGAGGAGGAGGCGGAGGAGGAGGAGAGGAGGTGGAGGAGTAGGAGCGAGCGAGGAGCGCGCGAGGAGGAGGAGGAGGAGGAGGAGGAGGAGGAGGAGGAGGAGGAGGAGGAGGAGGAGGAGGAGGAGGAGGAGGAGGGGGGGGGACGGAGGAGCGGAGAGCGAGGAGGAGGAGCGGAGAGCGAGGAGGAGGAGGAGGATAAGGAGGAGGAGGAGTGGAGGAAGATGAGGAGAACGAGCGAGGAGGAAGAGGGTGGGGGAGGAGGAGGATAAGGAGGAGGAGGAGGAGGAGGAGGAGGAGGAGGAGGAGGAGGAGGAGGAAGGAGCGAGCAGCGAGAAACCAGGAGCGGAGGCGGAGGAGCGTGGAGCAAGGAGCGAGGAGCGACGGGAAAGGAGGAGCGAGGAGCGAGGAGCGAGGAGTGAGGAGTTAGGAGGAGGAGGAGGAGGAGGAAAATGAGAAGGAGGAGGAAAAGGAGGAACAGGAGGAGCAGGAGGAGGAGGAGGAGGAGTAGGAGGAGGAGGGAGGAGGAGGAGGAGGAGGAGGAGGAGGAGTAGGAGGAGGAGGAGCGAGCGAGCGGCCGAGCGAGCGAGCGAGGGGGGGGGAGCGAGGAGCGAACGAGGAGGGAGGAGAAGGAGGAGGAGGAGGAGGAGGAG